GTCACTGTGGAGCACTTGGTTACTAGGACAATAGTGGTGGACTTAAAGCAGGTAGGGACAAATTCCATTGACATTGATGTGTTGAATATGTCCACCAACACCTCAGACAGCTGGTGTGCGCAGTCCTTCAGTACCCACCCTGGGATGTTGTCAGGGCCTGCAGCCTTACGGGGGTTGATTCCCTGTAGATTCTTCCTCACATCTGCTGTGGTCACACAGAGGAGCGTGTCACTGGGTGGTGGTATAAGTCTTGTGCTGGTGGGGTGTTAGGATCCTCAAAGCAAGCATAGAACATATTGAGTGCATCTGGCAATGAGGGGTCCCTTGGGCATTGTACATCCCTAATGTTGTAGTTCGTAATGCACTTGAAGCTAGTTCGTAATGCACTTGATGTTAGTTCTTAATGCACTTGAAGCCCTTCCACATGCATCGGGGGTCGTTGGTGATGAAGTGACCCTGAATTTTCTGTGCGAATGTGGCTTTGGCCCTTGCAATGCCTGCAGTCAGGCTTTTCCTGGCCTCTGAGTGCTTATGCCTCACCTGTCCTGAACACAGCATCCCTAGCTTTCAGCAGAGCTCTCACCTCAGCATTCAGCCAGGGTTTCTGATTTGGATAACAGGTTACCTGGTGGTGATGACATCATCAGCACACTTGGAGAAGAAGCCAAGAACAGAGGATGTGTATTCCTCCAGGTCAACCTCTCCTTCATATGTAGCCGCCTTTCTGAAGACCTGCCAATCTGTGCACTGAAAACAGTCCTGGAGCACAGAATCTACACCAAAAACATACATGTTAGTCTGTCTTCAGGTCCAGGCCTCCCTTGAAAAAGAGATCTGTGATCTCAATGGGACTTGCCTGGTTAAATAAAGGTTAATAATAAAAATAATAATAATCCCTGGCCCACACAGTGACTGTCTTCTTTGTTGGCCTAATCTGTCTCATCATCGGATGACATGCTGGCACCAGCGGGATTGAGATGTGGTTAGAGAGGCCAAGATGGGGGTGACGAAGAGCTCTGTACGTACCATGAATGTTAGTGTACACACAGTCTGCGTAGGAAAGGTGACATGCTGGTTAAAAACTGGGCAGGGTGTCCGTCAGTTTCACGTGGTTAAAGTCCCCGACAACAACATAAACTGCCTCCGGCTGCTTTATCTGCAGTGAGCTAATGGTGTCATACAGCTCTTTTGATGCTTCGTTAGCATTAACACCTGGCGGGATGTAAACAATGGTGACGAACACTACAGTGAACTCCCATGGCAGATCGTAAGGCCGACATTTCACAGTCATGAGTTCTATCATCTCAGCATAGTAGCTTTTTACCAGTCCACAGTTCATACACCAGTTTTCATTCACAAACATACAGAGTCCTCCCCCCGTGTTTTACCCGACATATGGTCACAGTCCGCTCGGAATAACTTAAGACCGTTGATCTGGAAGGCTGAGTTTGTCATGTTGTTGTTAAGGCAGGTTTCCGTTAGGCAAAGAACAGCACAGTTCTTCATCTCTATAGAAACACTCATCCTCAGATATAACAAGTCCACTTTGTTAGTTAGTAAGCGGACATTGGCCAGAAAAAAAGAGTAGGAATCGGTGGCCTTCTTTAGCTTGGCCAACGCGCCCTTCTTCCCCCTCTTCTGTTTCCGGGCACATCGTTTCCTCTTGACCATTGCTCCTCGCACTTTGCTGCGCCATTCTGTTGTCCTCAGGAGCTGCTGTCTGTCGAGTGCAGATTTAAGCCTCGGTGATAAATTAATAACCAAAGTGTCTCTGATAGCCATCCGTTCTGTTGAGTTGTACTTGAGCCATGAATTTAGCATTGAGCTAGTGCCTGAAACAGCCTCGTAGGAATTAAAATAATTAAAATAAGGCTTAATCCCGGGAGCATGAGAAGCTGCTGCACTTCTGTGTGCTGCCATAGCACATCAACGCGATAGCATATCAACTTTGAGTTAGAAGCTCCAAGTTTTTAATTATCTTCCAGATAAACAAACGTTTATTATCCATCAGTGGAGGGACGCCTGACTGATGGAGGTCATGTTTTTGCTTTTAGGATCCAAAAAAGAAGAACTTCCTGGAAACGAGGCTGGATGTGACAGCGCAGCAGGTGGTGGACAGGTGAGCACACTTGCAGACAGGTTAACGAGCCTTGTCCATCTCTCAGGAGCTTCTTCATTGGGTTTGTTTTTCTGCTGCTGCAGGATCGTGGAGGAGTTTGGTTTGAAACATCTCAAGCTCATCCTGAATGGCCGCACTCTGAACGTCGGTGAGTCCAGACCGCTTCCAGCTTCTGGTCCCAGGATCCTGAACCAGCAGCTGAACAGTTTTCTATACCCCCCTCAGACCAGCATCTGGATCAGCAGGGCGTGAAGAACCACAGCAAGGTGATGGTTCTGAGAGTGAGCGATGCCGAGCAGGTCAGCAAGGAGGAGGAGGACAAGAAGAACCAGAGCGAGAGCATCCAGAGGACCCAGAAGGGCTTCCAGATCCTGTCAGAGAGAGGTCTGACCATTGACCTGAGACCAACTGAAAAACTGCAGGGATTTTATTGTGAAAAGCTTCCATGTTTTCAGATGGCAGTGAAGATCCAGAGAGCACTCCGTTCCTGGAGATCGCAGACCAGAAGGGGAACCCTCTGAAGATCCCTCACCTAGAGAAGAAGGTCGGTCCGCCCCTTAAGGGTCTGATTGCAATCCTGCAGATGGTTTTGGTTCTGAACTTGTGTTCTGTTCAGGCTCTGATCCTGGCCATGGGGTTCCACGAGAAAGGCCGCTCTCTAATGAAGAGGAAGCAGTATGACAACGCTCTGTGTCACCTACTGCAGGCCGACCAGCAGTTCAGGTACCCAACACACCTGAGGCCAGGGGGGTGGGGCTTATCAATGGTGCAGGGTGTAACGTTCAAAATAAAAGCTCCTCAGAGCCTCTGTCTTTGTGTCTGTGTGAGCAGTAAGTGCGGCTCGGCATTGCTTGGCTCTGTGGACAACTACGCTGTCCTGCAGTTGGACATTGTGTGGTGCTACCAGGCCCTGGAAGCCTTGTCCTGCCTGGAGGATGGTCGGAGTCGCCTGCAGAGAGCCGAGGAGTGTTTCCTGAAGTGTTACGGAGAGCAACAGCAGAGGCTGCTCATGATCAAGGTGAGGAAAACATCTGGATCAGAACCTTCAGGAGCCCAGAGCCCCCTGGTCTTCAGGGACCGGAGGTCAGAACTGTTGATTAAAACCACCATCGGTCTGGAGCTCCTTCTAAGATCTTCAATTCAATTCAATTTATTTATATAGCGCCAAATCACAACAAAGTTGTCTCAGGGCACTTTACAGAAACATTCACATAAAAGCCATTTAGTAAAGTTCTCTATCTAAGGAATCCAGCAGACAAGTTGAATCTTGGCTTCGTTGCAGTCTCCCATCCTGAACAAGCACAGTGGAGACAGTGGAAAGAAAAACTCCCTTT